AGCTGTTGGTTCGATCAACAACCTCTCTTCAACTCCGTGGGAGGTGTACAGAAAGTAAGAAGGGTGTTGACAGCGACGGGGGTAGCCACAGGGGCGCGGAGACATGGCCTGGGTTGGGTCGTGTTATTAATGTTCGGGGTTGGGGGCTGTCAACTCAGAAACTGAGAGCATGTCGTGCCGCGGGGACCCAATGCCGGCCACTCAATAAATCCAGAAGTGGTCGGTTGGGCCAAGAGCCTGTTGGTCGTGCTCGACCCCCAAGCTCGGCAGAGAGAAAGAGAAGATAGAATTCCAGCATGCTCGATCTGCCGAGCGGTCATCTGTTTACGGACTGTGGCTGAAGCATGGTAGACGGTAGACCACGAAAATTTGAGAGAAGTGTTTAGCCGAGTCAACCATAGGCACCTGCAGAGTTTGTACGGATGTCCCGGATCCTCCTGCTGTAGGTGCTGTTGCATCTGCCACAATCCCTTCGCGCTTGGTTCGCGGAGCGTGATCATATTCCGTCCAGCCCCCAACTGCTTGTCTTGTGTGAAGATTCTAGCAAGGGTCCAGGACCTGACGCTGCATATTGCGAGTTTCGCGACAGACCTACTGCATGCCATGTCATGAATGCCAAACGCTCCCGTCCATCCCAAAATAAGAAATAAGATCTCGAGGCTGTGCGAATTCATCGCATCACATCGCCTCAGGACTTCCCAGATTGAGTTGGCAGAGCCGCAAGGCACGGTGAGACAAGCCAACATGGCTACTTGCTGCTGATTCCCTCGCAGACATGTGCAATGTTGCAAAAAATCGCTGTTTGCTTGCACGTGTCGCGGAAGACACACCGATAATCACCGATAGATGCATGACTGTTTGCGACGAGGCTTCCTTAGCCGATGGTGGGCACACAGAGAGGCCTGAGGATGTGTGAATCAATGAAGCCTGCCGGCGATAACTAGGAACTCACTGCATCTTGTTGCGGGTAGAAGGCTTCAGACAAGGTGTGCCTCGTTTGGAGCCTGTCTTAACGCACAGATTGTTTGTGCACAGCAGGATACCTAAATAGGGAATAATGCAGCCAATGATGGCGTGCATTCTCCGGAAAGATTGCCAGAGTAGAGCACGTGAGAGGCACAGAATGATGGCTACCTCCCGGTGCGTTGGGCCAAGCTCTTCAAGCAAAGCTGCAGTTCAACCTAATTACGGACCTTTAGCTTTGCTGAGGCTTGCAGTCGCCCTTGAGAATTCTGAGGTCAACCGCAGTCGGAAGCGATCTCGATGCCTAGAGCGCAGGCATGTTGGTCAAGCAATGTCTAGAATCCTTGGAACCTACTCTTGCCAGTGCTTTTAGGTGCAGACTCCCGAGCGCAATGCATCCGGACCAGAATGTCCTTTGCAGGCCAAGCTTACTGAGTCACATTGCTACGCGTCAGCACGCAATCTGCTGGTGTTTCGCCTCGGTGAAATTTTTAGATCTTTTTAGTACAGCAGGATTGCTTTGTAGATGTCGCCTTGCGGTCTCGTATCGTCGTATCGTACGGTTCGTTGCTAAGCCTGCTAAGCTCAGCCAGACATGGAACAAGCCGAGCCAACCAGAAAATGGTCGTGCAAGTTGACGCGCCCTGCATGGATTGAAGCAGCCCGTGCTAAGATGTGCCAGCTCATGAGGAGCTTGGAGGGCTTCAAGAGGCAGAAGGCGCACTGCGGCTCCAGACGTCCTGGTGAAGGAGCTGTGTCTCACCGAAGCTAAGCCTCGCTCCCTCCTCGCAGCGGGCCATATTCTGGCGCACAAAGCAAGTGTACAGAATTGCCACAATAGTGAAATTAGATGCAGCCACTGAGCTCGTCATGTTGTCCGATGAAGGTAGTGATGAAGGTACAGCATGGTACAGCTGACTGTAGGTGTAGCCACAAAGATCGAAGGTGAGCTCATGGTCAGAGTAGGGTGCTTAATTGGCTGTGACGAGGTTGTTGGACGCAAAGCGTCACCACGCAAAGCCTTCGTGGACTCGCACAGCTTATTTGGCCTGCGCGAATTCGGCCGGCAACCGCTCCAAAGTCCCTGAGCACAGAGAACATCAGGGAACTGTGAAGCCTTAAGGCTCGAGCGCCAGACTACCACTGGGGCGGTCAGCAGCGGAATTCCTCGCTGGCAGACAGTAAGCGAGGCAGCAGACTTAGTCGCGCCTCTTTTATGTCGTCAGCAGCGGCGCTATGCCAATACACGGAAATTTGGGGTATGCTCGGTGGCGATGTTAGCGCCTTCACATCATGCAGCCGCACGCTGTCACCCAACTGTGGAAGGCAGAGTTTGCATCAGCCGCCGTACTTGGCTACAGGGATCTTTATTACACGTTTGCAGCATTGTGCTCTTGCTCAACGAGCACGGCCACGTATTCAAACCAGTAGATTTCGTAGAAATACGCTGACGTGTGCCTGGCGTGCTCCCACTGCATGCCTGCTGAATTCTCACTCAAAGGTGCATGTTGTTGAACCTGCAGATTTGAGTGCGTAAAGGTGCGGTGATTGGTTTCTTTGTAGCGAGTGTCTTCGCCATGCGTCTTGTGCCACGACGCATGCTATTGGTCGGGCTCCTGATGCAAGCTTTGTACAGTCGCTGTCATGACAGCAGCAGAACTGATTTGTTTTTTCATATGGTACAGTCCACTGGCTGGTGTCACAGACTGGCACCGTCGGGCTGTGCACGCGTTGTTCCGTCGCGTCTAAGTCCGAGTTGGTAAGGATTCTGACATATCCATGGGTACTGGTGTATACTGGTGTTGTTGTATCTATATGTCCCTTTTTGCCAGGTGTGTTTGTTTGTGTAGTTCTGCTCCTTTGCGGGTGCAGATGTAAGGAAAGTAAGTACTTACGGTGTGCTCCAATCTTCCTGTGTTGGTTGATTCTAGAGGCATGTGTATAAGCTTCTTTTTTGGCATGCTGGTCAGAGAAAGCGTAAAACACAGTTACCCTTGGTTGGTCGATTAGCGGTGCTTTGGGTAAGTATTGTTGTCACCGCCTGTGTTTTCTTAGCTGCTGTCTTCAGATCCTTTTTCCGTTGTCTGGATGGGCCCTACCACGGCTTTGCTCGTGTTTGCTGTCTGAGTAGGTCTAAGTTTGCAGGGATCGGTTACCAGTTTTCGCTTTAGCCTGATAATGAAGTTTATGATCAGTGTTTTTGTGAGGTTCTCTGATTGCTTTTGCTGTTGCTGCTGCTGCTGCTGCTGTCCCTCCTGTTGTCTGGGTTCTTGCGCTCGAAGACAACAAGACTTCATGCTGGCAGAAGGAGCCGAGGTCGAGAAGCATAGCGAACACAGTATGTTCCTTGCGGTGAGTTCACAAAGATACAGCCACTGCAGACGATTTTAAGGCTCATGGCGCGCAGCGGTCGCGCCCCCGGCCAACATCTCAGCCAGCCAAACCTTGCCTTCGATTACCTGAACTGAACTTGAAGCCACCTTAGCCAGTAGTATCAAACAAAGCATGATTCAAGCACGGACCACGATTCAAGCACTGCGCTTCAAGATAAGAACGTCAGATTCAAGCACGAGTTTATGGCTTGCTGGCTTCAGACTCTCTCGAGTCTGAGGTTATCTAAGGTTGTTGAGTTTGGGACTTCGGTTTGTGTTCGTTACGTTGCACCAAGGCAGTAATGTTGGAAGCAAGACGCCCTGGAATTGGCGCCTACTGGTGCTTGTACTTGGAGCGTCGATTGTTTTGCGCGGCTGGCAAGTCTTGGAACACAGATCCTGTCGCGAAGAGGCGTCAGCCCAAGGGGGGAGTCCATGGCGCACACAGGGAGCTTGACCGCTGGACTTAGCTTTTTGTTGCTTCAGTTTCTGCTCCAAGGCTGCGTGATACGAGCTGGGATCCCCTAAAACAGGATGTATCGCAGAAGGTTTTCTCGTTAAAGTTTTATTCTTTTGCCACGGCAGCACAGCACCATCGGCACTGGTGTTGCAGACGTGGCAGTGTACTTGATCAACCACTTGTCGCTCAGGCAGACGAAAAGCTTCAAGCTTTGTTAAGGGATTCGGAACTAAACAGCTGCACGGACCAAGGATAAGCAGAAGATAAAACCAGCCGTAGAGACAACAGAGTAAAGCAAAGTCCACAATTCCCGCAACTAGGCTTCGGTACACGAGGAGTAGGTGGCCCGACCTGACCAAACAGCAGTCCTGCCTGTTTTCACACTAAGATCCGGGAGCCCACCTCGCACGGAAGAGAAAGGGATATAGATATAACAGGAAGGATTTTCACACATGGCAGCCGGACCAGTCTGGTCTTGTCACGCAGTCGTCGTCATGTCTCACAGGAATGATAGTGATGCAGACAGGGCAGTTCGGGAAAGCATGCAGCGTGGCGGATGTCGACAGCAAATCTCGCTTCGCGGCAGGATCTGGACATGCGGTCAGCTCATCCTTCTCGGGCGCGCACTGTCGGTGCAAGTTTTTGCAGCTGTCCGGAGGGTCCAGGGACATCCAGGGATTCCTGCAAAGGTAGAGGTCGCCAGTGGTAGCAACAAACATCGCTACTGACTCTACTCGTGCTGTCCACGTGTTTTTCCGGGTTGTGGTGGCATAGGATGCTTTATCTTCGGCAACGTGGGGCAGATGTTTGCCGTTTGCCTTGTGCCCTGAGCCTGAAGACGTACAGCCTGACATTTTCCTATATATTGTCAGTCAGTTAGTTAACTCGTTGGTTGCTATGATGTACATGTTTATACACACATGTACATATACATATATGCATAATTATGCATGTACATGTACATATAAGAGTTTATATGTACATGCAACCCCCTCCAAAACCCACGTTTAGAATCAATGTTCGCTTGGTTGACATTTCCGTTCAGAACAAGTTAGGAGCCCGTCTTCCCAATCACTTTCTTTTGTTCGCCCGTATTAGCGCCACTAATTTGAACCTTCCATGTCTTCACCATTCTTGAGTAAGACCCTTTTGCATGGTTGGAAGTTCGCAGAAAGCAACTACTCAGTTACGTACTACTTAAGCCAACCAAACAAGAACAACTCTGCAAGCTCAGGACTCTTCCGCCGAAAAGGAAAAGAACTGTTTCTAGTTAAGCAGTCTTGGCGGACAGACAGACACGCAGGAATCTTAAGCCCGCACCCCAAGGCCTGGGCCCTGAGCGCTCTCTGTAGCGTCCCCAGGTCCCCAACCCTCTACCCTCAGGCGCCCCCAGGGTTCCCTTGATCGTAATTGTACTGAAGTCTTGCCCCGTTTAGACCCGTCTTTGGCTGCGTTCCGGGCTAAATGCTTCCCGGAAACATTGACGAACGGGGATTATGTTGATGGAGGCTTTGTTGAAACAGCTACATTTTGAAAATGTGCCGTAAGCGAATTTCAATGAACCCAACTGTTTGATTTGTTGGTTCACTAAGCAAGAAGATTTAAATGACATAGCATGTGTAACAAGTTATGGGAGCATGCTGCCTTCTAGGGATTCCAGTGCCATGAACTAATTCATTCACCATTGATCCTTTCCCTGGTATTAAGTGACCCCTCAATCTTGAAGTTCGCATTGGGCCTATCATTAGGTCTAGTGCACTCTCTTGCTAAAATCCCGCTCGCGGAGACGTTAGATCAATTCCGGCCCATTACGTGGTTCAGCATGTTGTACCGTTGTTGGGCGAGTCTTCGCACTTCGCCTTTGCTTGCCCATCTAGGCAGGCTTGCATCCTCTACGCAAAGTGGCTTTCTTCCGGATTGTGCAGCAAGCGACGTCTGGCTAACGGTTCAGGCTTCCATTGAAGTTGCCCTTCAATCTGATTGCGAAGTTTGCGGAGTTGTTGCAGATCTAGTAAAAGCATACAACACAATACCTCGGGAGCCATGCTTCCTAATTCTAGCTCACCTTGGAGTGCCTGATTCTTTGCTCCGTGCTTGGAAGAATTTTCTGACTTGCATGACCCGAAGGTTTGTCGTGCGTGACGATTGTGGGGAGGCGGTAACTTCTTTCACTGGATTTCCGGAGGGTTGCCCGCTAAGCTGCGTGGCAATGGTGGCCATAGACCTCTGTTGGCATGCATACCAATCTTGCTACGCACCAAGCAGCGTGCCCTTCTCCTTTGTTGACAATCTGGAAATTCTTGCCGATGAGCCAGGGAGGTTGATGCGAGGTTTCATCGTGATGCAGGAGTTCTGCTCTCTGTTGGATCTAACCTTGGATCAGCGGAAGTTATACTTTTGGGCCACATCCACGGAGGGCCGAGCACTTCTGCGTGCACAGGGCAAAGATGTTGTGTTATCCCAGCGGGATTTGGGTGGCCAGATGGCATACTCGGCACAGCATCGCAACAGCTTGGTAACAGGTCGCATCAAGGACGTCTGCTATTATCTCAGGCGGCTCGCAACCACCCCAATATTACCAGCAGACGCGCGACGCTGCATTATTCAGGCGCTGTGGCCCAGGGCCTTTCATGGTTGCGAGAACGTTCAAATTGGCAGTGCACATGTTGACAAGCTGCGTTCATTGACCATGAAGGCCATCAAATGGGACAAGGCAGGAGCTTCGCCTATTGCATCCATGATGCTGGCGGGGGACTTGTTGATTGATCCGGGGTTCTTCCAATTCTGGACCGTGCTGCGTAACTTGCGTGGTCAGTTTCGCAAGAGTTTGGCCTTGCAGGCATGGTGGGCTCAGTTCTTTTCCAGATTTGAGGGTCGGTTGCTTCCAGGCCCATTCTCAAAACTCGTTCAACAACTGCACATGGTCCACTGGCAAATCGATGCGGAACTAAATGTCTGGATCACTGAGACAATCTGCATGCCCTTTCTATCCACACCCCTCTCAACATGGCAGCGTCTTGCGAAGCATTCATGGTTGCAATATCTTGCTGGACGTCTGAGTTGCAGAGCTGATTTCGAGGGTCTGGTCGGGGTTTCTGAGCTCTGCTTGAAGCAAGGTGAAGGTGAGCATTGGCAATGGATGCGAACCATCCGCAACGGGACATTCTATACGGAAGACTTGCTGTGCAAGTTTGACCACTCGCGCAATGGGAATTGCCGCTTGTGTGGGCACCTCGACTCCATTGAGCATCGAGCCTGCCATTGTCCCTATACAGCAGATATCAGGGCGGGATTTCAAGATTGGATCAGCAAATGGAGTCAACTGCCTCGGGCCACTCGGGAACATGGGATGTGTTCGCAAAATCCTTGTCTGATGGAGTATTGGGAGGCGCTCCACGTGATAGATGACAGTACTGGGGTCTTCTACTTGCATCGTGCAAACTCCCAGGTCCATTACTTCTTTCTCGATGGCACCTGTGCGACGCCTGAAGATCCAGACATCGCTTTGGCAGGGTGGGCTTGCATTGATGCGGACTCGCATCATGTCGTTTCGGGGGGTCTGTTGCCGGGCATTGTCCAAAACATCAACCGTGCTGAGCTGACCGCTCTCATTTCTGCTGTCAAATGGTACCATGCTCATGGGGGGCCGGTCGTTGTCTGGTCAGACAGTTCGTATGTCGTGGACGGCTACCGGCAACTGCAGTATCATCAGGATCCCGCTTCATGTGACAGCAACGAAGATCTGTGGGAGCTTCTGTGCAACATGCTGCCTCAATCAACAGATTTCGTTGTTTACAAGGCTGCAGCTCATGTGGATGTCGATCTTTGCCAATCTCCTTTTGAAGAGTGGGTGTGTAGCAACAATGACCACGCCGATTCGGCAGCTAAGCGCATGCTGTTGACTTTGCCACAAAGGCTGTGCACAGCTAGGAAGCGTTTCCTAGCTGCGCAAGATGTGATCAAGAAGGAGGTGGAATGTGCACACTCTTTGCTCTCCAAGCTGAGCGGCAGAGCATTCCAGCAAGGGGGCAGGCTTCTACAGAGTATGGAAGTAGCTACCGCGCATCCTGGAATGGTTCTCAGGGACATGTCAGTTTGGGTTGAAAATAGGCGTCATGTTGAGCTTGACTTCGGGTTGGATCTTGCTTCTGCTCCTCCTTGTGTTTCCAAGTATGGGTTGATTGAAGTGAGAGCCATTCTTGGATGGCTGCAAAAGCTAGACGCACAAGAGCTTCAAACGAACGTCTCACTCTTGGAAATGTATATAGCATATGTCGCTACCACAGGGCGCATGGTTCCAGTACACATTGAAGGCGAACGATGGGCTCAACCATTTGAGCACAATTTTGGAAGGCGCACATTGGCCACGGACTTGTACACTTTCGGCTGCATCGTGCGTGCCATTCTTGACTATTTAGGGGTCCCAATCCACGCCTGTACAGTGAATCTGGCGCATCTTGGAGTGTTTAAGCCTTTTAGCGGTTTGAGAGTGGGCTTTAGCCGTGCGGCTGAGGAGTTTGTGGGGTGTTGGTTGATTGGGTTTCGGGGCAAAACTCCAATTCGAGCCAGTCGGGACCTCGCAAAGTGTTATCAAGTTGAGGCCTGTGAAGGCCTGTTCTAGTGGACTGACGACCAGTGGACGCCTTGCACTGCTTTGCTGTGCGGGCTGAGCGCATGCTGTCTGCGATATTGGGCCTATCATTCGTTACAATAAGCGGGATTTGGTCTCGGCCCGTTCTGCAATGCTCAGACCCTTCAGTTCTACATTCCTATGGCCCCTGCAGTCCTGAACCCAAGTAGAACTTACGGATGTGATGCCTCATCAGCGCGGGCGTGGCTTTTCGGGGCGGGACCGTATATATACATATACAGACAGTTACGTGTGTATATACACAATTATACACACATGCATGCCTGCATACATTCATACGTTAAGCGTGTGTGTGTGTGTGTGCGTGTGTATCTCTATGTATATATGAATTTGCTTATTTGTTTATTGAGAGAGAAAGAGAGAGATGTGGATGTGTGTGTGTGTGTTTGTGCGCGGGTGTGGGTGCTGATATTTGATACTTACATGCACATAAATACGTACACACACTTATACGTCAGTACACTCATGTTACATATGTATATGTTTATGTACATACACATATGCTTATTGCAGAGATTCAAAAAACTAGTAAATGAGGAAACATGTGAATACATCTATCTGTAGCCTCATACACATGTATATGTGTGTGCGTGCATGTTCGTATGTATGCATGCATTCATGGTTGCTGCCCTGTTCCCGATGCTCGTGTTGCATAAGTTTTGAGCTTTGGACCACGTGCGCAGCGCGTGTCAGGAATGATTGTTTGGCAGAGCGTGAACGCGCGGTTCACGCAGAGGACACGGGGGAGCACGTTTCTTGTGATGTCCTTGCATGTCAACTCGCACGTCGCAGAGCATCTCCTGACGTCTTGCACATGGTATAGGACTTGGAACAAGGACGCTGTGTTTTCTGGGATTCCCAGGCAAAGTTGGTTGAAAGATAATGACCAGCGAACGCGAATCAGCACAAGCGGCCAGGTAGCAAAACACAAACATGACATGTGAGAGCTTCCAAGTCCGTCCCGACATTTCCACCCAACATGGTTTGGTTGTGTTGGTGGTGTTTTCCCTTCATACGAATAATAAAGGCTACCGAAAAATCAAAAGCGTCACCGACTAAAGTCTGAAGCCACGTTGCGGGGGGGGGGGGGGTCCGGGCCGGAAGTTGAGAGGCCTCCGAAAGCCGTCGGTCCTATATGTCGGTGTTTGGGGCAAAACTATGAGCTTCTTACAGTACGTTGTGATTCAGGCGATTTGCGGCTCTGCGGCTCCTGCTGTGGCATGCTGTGGCTCGCTGCGCATTTCCTACTACATCCGTGTTCCTTCCACAGTCTCGTGCGGGTCGGGTTTCAGTGATTGAGGTTTACACTGGCATGTCAATAAGTTGAATTTTTAATTCGCCTTGTACACGGTGTTACTAGTATCGGCTTCCTACGGATCCTACGCATAACATTTTGCGGCATCTTGCGGGTAGCATCTTGTAGCCAAGACGATGACATCGCTACCATACCTGAATCGAGTTGCATTGCAGGATCTGGTTCTGAAAAGCCAAGCAGTCCGAGAAGAAGCTCGCCAGGCCATAGGCAGAATACTTCTCACCACGTGAAGGAAGCGTGGCAAATAGACCGCTAGGCCTTCGAACGGCAAGTGGCAGATTTGAAGAAGCAGTTGGCAGAGGCCAGCAAAGGGCGAGTTCTGCATTTTGCAGCCAAGTACAGGCATCGTTGTCGTATCCTTTGCCAAATCAAACTGCAGCTCTGTCTGATTTGGCTAGTCTTGCTTCAAGATTGCAATAGTGAGGCTGCAGCCCCGGCCAGCTCAAGTCCGCCGAGCAAAGGCAAAGCCCTCTACTCGGGAACGAGAGACGTTTGCGCTGGTCGACAAGGACATGAGGAGCCTTAGACATGTACACGCCAGACTTGCGGTTCCATCGCCATGTGAAACTTGTTCTAAAGACCCTTCCTTGTGTTCAAACGCGCAGGAAGATTGCATCGCGTTCGGTGTGATATTGTATGATATGGTATAATGCTAAGGCCGGACAGCCGCTTTGGACGGCACCCTTTTGCCTCAACATAGTAACATATGTGTGTAAGCTTAGTTGAGAACATGATACGGAAAGCATGAGCGTGTATATACATGATTATATGATGAGTAGTACGTATACAGCATACACACATAATTAAAACAGGCTCTCGAAAGAAAGCAGTATCGCAAGAAAGTTCTCCAGGTCTCTAGGTCGTTTCATAGAACAGCTGCATGCGAAGTGACACTCAGGTGACGCGGAATGGCAAAATATGGTCCACGGGCTGCAGGAGAGGTCTCGGAGAAAAGGAGAACTCTTTGTGCTGCGGGGCTTGGCTTCTAGGCCATTCCTTGATGGTACGATTTTGCAGCAATTCGGTAGGGTCTCTGCAGCAAACGGTTTGGCTGTTTGACGGTGCAGAGTGGCGGGACAATGACGGGGAGGGTTGCCCATCCTCTCCTCTCGCATTCCGGTTCAGCCTGAGAAGCCAGGTTTCGAGTCTCAAGCATGTGGCAAACGGTGCACCACCGTGCACTTTCGCAAATCCCCGAAGGCCGAGATCGAGCGGCTGCGGAAAGAGAACTTCCGGCTCAAGGCCGAAGATGTTGGGAAGGCGGTAGGAAAGCTTGCGAAGATAGTGGAAGCATGTGAGATCCCAATTACTTGTCCAGGAAAACCTTCCCCCAGCCATCTGGAGCACATGGGACCAGGCATCTAGCCAGAGCTCCCCAGCGCAGGCCGCGCGGTTTGCAGTCAAGAATCGGAATCCCAGTCCTGACGAATCCCAGGCGATTCTTCAGAGTTTCGGACTGTCGGTTCGGATAGTACAGGTTGCAGCGATTACGAATTCCAGGCCCAAGGGGCCCAAGGGATCATCTGTGGTCCGCCAGCACCAGTACCGCTAGGGACCACCAGCTCGAAGTCGTCAGGTCGAGATGGCGCACAGCGAGCCGCAACGATATGCCCAGGCGTGACACTTTTCCCGATCTGCTATCCTTTGTTTGTGGTTGTGTGTGCGTGGCTTTGACGTTGCAGCGTACTCGCACGAAAGGCGACAAAGTAGCTCTTTCAACTGAGCCGCATAAGCCGGTGGTCGGCAACGACTTGAGCATCATTCTGGAGAGAGCTAGTTATCGGTTTGCAGATAACTTGCCTGGCCATTTTTGGAGACGCAGCTGCTTGCGCGTTTGTAAACGCTTGTAAGTCATTGAGTTGGGGGTCACATCTGAGCTTGAAAATGTGCGGATGGCAGAATAGAGCTGAGAAGTTGCTCCTCAGGCGCTTTCAACAGCTGAGCTCACCGAGGCAGTCGCTTGATTCGGGCCTCATTTTCACGTAGCATCCGCAAAAGCATGGCGAGCTGAGTACCGCTAGGATTCTGTAAATACGGGTTTTCAGTTGCGTTTTGGGAAGTGGATTATGCAATTACGCGGGGGGTTGATTCCAAATATGAGGTTGACATTAGCCTGCCTTGTCTTCCGAGGACTTGCTGAAGTCGTTAGCTTCTAATGGCGCCATCGGCGTTGCCATTGTCACGCCCGGCGCTTATTATCCGACTCAGACCGATTCTTCGAGCAGACGGACGTTGACACAATTGTCGTTGCATCGCGAATGTGGCTCTGCAGAGTCGGCAGACTCGAAAATTATCCAGGTCATCCCATCCTCATCTATCCTCCGAGTCATTCTGTGCCACAAGCCATAGAGTCATGAAGTCTGTTTGATGGCATTTGATGGCCATTCGCACAGACTTGTCGGATGTTAGACACCCACTTCAATCATGCTGCGCTGTGGCCAGTAGAGCGTTCTGAAAGTTGCATCATCACAGAACAGACATAGTCAGCGGGCAACTACTTGTAGCATGCTGATGCTGTGTAGTTTGGACGGTGAACTTGTCCTGGCTTTTGAGGTGCAAGCGGCCGAAATACCTTTCGAGGGCCCGGCCCTGGGAATCCTCGGAGCACATGACCACCTGTGATCACTGGTGTCCAGTGCCAACACAGCTTCTTCACAGACCCGTAGTTACCTCCCGACAGAGCTGCAGAGCAAGTTCATTCTTACCTAGTCTTGCCTGATACACCTCTTTGCCAGACGATGGACTCGGTGCTCCGTGCGCAGCGCGACCCTGCAAAGTTTCCCTTGGTCATCTCGCAGGCTGTGAGCTCATTCGTGTCCGGAAGCTTTGGGTAACGTTGCGGTAACTTGAACAAGCTTGAACAGCTGCTCGCCTCTCGCCATGTGGGGATGGTTTAGACTTTACAGGGTCTGCACATTCAGAACCCAACCCGAGGTCTTCATAGATTTCTGGAAGAAGGGGCATGTTGGCGTCAAATTCGACGCTTCAGCATCAGGGCTCTTAGTGTGTGGAGACTTCGTCCCAAACCCACTGCTGATGAGGCTCCGAGAAACCCTGAAATGTCCTTAAATCCAAACATTCAGCCATCGCTGCTGCAGGATGCCAATGACGCGGCCATGCAAGAGGCCTCAGCATCACTTCGATTGTACTATATGTGGTATTTTCTGATGTTTGACATCTGTGAAGGGCCTCATGAGTCCAACGGCCGCAGAGTGGAGTGGAGTGGAGGGATGACCGAGACCCGAAGGCCTGGCCTGTTAGTTAGCAGTGGCATCACCTCCTGCCCAAAGGCTTAAGGATCAAAAACCACAAAGAAAACCCTGAAACCGTGCACTCCAGGCACGAACCGGGATCCATCCCGACAGAGCTTCCATCAGCTCATAGCCGCTTGCGTAACTGCGCACTCCAGGCACAAACCGGGATCCATCCCGACAGCTGTCCTATCAGCTCATGTCACGTGTGAACCACCCATACCAGGCGAGAACCGCGATCAATCCGAACTGCTGTACCATCAGTGCAATGACTGACACTTGCGTAACCGCTCACTCCACGCGTGAAACAAGATCCACTGGTAGCTGTTCCATCAGATCATGTCAAGTGTAGAAGCTCGATCACCATGTTCGAACCGGGAACCCTCCCGCAAGAAACACGTCGGCCTCCAGCCGCAACGAGACCCAAAATGCCGGCACTGTCGCCCCACTGTGACCCCCACGCCTGCTTGCTGGGCGCTCTTCGGCCTGGAAACAATCCCAGGCCTTAGTGCCGCCCCTGGGGTCCCAACAAGCACGCCGGCGCAAGGGTTAACAACCACAGCAGGGTTAGGGGCCAACGGCCGCAGAAAGAGACCCAGAGCTCGCGAGTATCTCACTGGGCCTTATAAAACCCTGCTCGTATGTGTGCGTGCCTTCCTTTGACCTTGCTGGATGCGCTTCATGTTGTTTGGGGGTTCCGGTTCAGCTTTGGTAAGTTTCCTGCGAACGCATCACGGTCGAACTTCATAGTGTCGCGCCAGTTGGTGCAGCGAAGCTTCGTGAAGACGGGCCAGGCCAGGCCTGGACACACTGTTTTGTCCGAGCTTTTGAGCACAGATTGGCACAGATGCCGACCAACCGGCAGGAACAAGAATGGGGTTCCACATGATCAAGTGATGGTCGACGTTGGTGTAAGCAACAGTGTAGAATCAAATAGAATCAAGAAGAGTGAAGGCAGGCATGGTACAGTAAGAGACTGCAGCTTCGTAGCCTCTCGGATGACAGGCACGGAAGGTTTTGGAGATGCTCGATTGTTCCCTTCGTCTTACTCCTGCTTGCCCCTAGTCGAAGCTTGCCCGCAGGCGTATCATATGCATCATGAGCACGACCCCAATGCTCCAGCGATTGCAACAAAGTGCCCCAAACGGTTGAAACTTGGCAGAGACCTGGACACGTCGGTGCGAAAGGGCCATGCGTTGACATGGCAAGCATCTGCTTTGCAGATTCGTTTGATCATGTAGACGTACCGAAACAGCTTTCCGCTACTTCCAGTGCTTTGGCTTCTTTTGGCTCCGGCAGCCTCCTTACCTTAGCAGCTGCTGGCGCTGCCCTTTCATGTTGGGTCCGTCCGCTATTCGCGTTGAAACGAGGTCTCAGGCAAGGGATACATCCATATAATTTATTGCCGGGCCGGGAAAGGCAGCCTGTCAAGCAGCGAACCAGAAACCAGTAGTTGACAGTTTTGTCTCTACCAAGAGGCTGTGTAATCTCAAGCCTGGTTGGATTCCACATGTTGTTATTCTACCACTTTGCCAGGAAGATAGGTGAAGGTTGGAAGCGGGTGACCCGAAAAGCCTCAAGAGCTTGCTTTCTTTCCTGCATGCATCTTCCTACGTTCATCCTTCACCCTTTCGAGGTACGGTGGCAAAAAAGCTATCGGCTACGTACGCATCGCTCAACATTTTGGTTTCGTTATGCGGAGGCCGGTCTCTTGCGTGCCACGCTTGCCCGCAGAAAGCAATCCTCCAAAGCCATGGGCCATGTTTCGCGAATGCAGGATGTTCGACGAGTTTGGTTTCGAGGCGGTGGAGATCTCAGTTTGGCTCCCCGTGACTGTCGGTTGAGTTGAGGCAGCCTCTTGCTCGAGCTGCTGAGCAGATCGACTTGCGATCTGTCGATAGCAGAGTCAACTATCCAACAGCACCCTCTGGGAGCCAGCAGGTGATCTTCTTGGAGGAGGATCTCGAGATTTCGCCCGACTTTTTTTCGTGAGCAGCTTCAGGGGCTGTGGTCATGTCGGACCTAGGTTTTAACCCAGGAGATTCAACCTGCACTCGAACATGCTTGACTACTTCGTCTGCCACAGATCAATGTTGCCTTGGCAGACCAGGAAGCTCACTGGCGAAGCCTGCCGTGTTGTAGTTCGAGCACTGCATGTCCTTGTGCACTGCAGCTTGGCTCTGCCGAAGAGCCCTGAAGCTTTGGATGTTCGTGATGTTAGGAACCGCAAGTTGTTCGCAAAACGTAGGCTCATGAATAGAGCACTTCGACGCCATCCCACCTGGAAACACAGAGGGAGAGGGGGGCCAACATCCAAAACCAAAACAAGTGAGGGTGCATATATATATATACATATATATATAACATACACACATTCACATTTATGCACGTCTACAGAGCTATCCTAAGATATTCTAGCCGTAATGCACCAATGCACCACCCGGCATTATGGACGATGATGATGACCTCGTCCGATTTGCCTGCGGCCTCGGTTCTTGATGGGGCGCGTATAGGTGGAACCCCAAAGACATCCACAACCCAGAAGAGGGATGACCAATATGACAGATTTATTTGGAAAGCAAACGGATCACTTATGGTCTTGGTTCTTTCCTACTGAGACAAGCCTCTCGAGCCAGCATGACCGCCACTGCCTGATGACTGTAGAGTAATATGGCTGCGCTGCAGGCCACGAATCTCTTCTTCGCCACAGAAGCTGAAAAGGAGGCGCATGGTTTGTTTGTTCATCGGCACGCTGAGGTATGATGTCCAGGATGCAATATGTGGTGAACTGTTATCCCGTGTGAGGGAAAGGGGGAACACTTATTAAATCGTTGTTCGTAAGCGTCTGCGAAGGCAGGTGAAAATCGCTAGCTTCAGCAGCAGCTGATGATTTTCGATTGCCCTGTGGGGAAAGTGAACGGCTAGATCCGACTGCACAAGATGCAGTCTGCAGATCGTCAAAGATGCTTCCATGTGCCTGAATGCGTAATCCTGGGACCGATCTACTCTTCATCGTATGTCATCGGTCGTCTGAGACAGACGGAGCAGTGTTGGACGGGATGCCAGAAGTTTCTGGGGTGTCCGGCCTCGGCCATGCCTGTCTGTGAGCTTTGCTATGACCAGAGCGTCGGCTCCACGAACCGTCAAGTTAGGGTGAGGCACGATGATGTTGATGGGAAAGATGGCTTTGGGGAGAGGAGAAGGAAACATGATCGACGTCGAAGGATCCAACACCTGAGTCTCGACCTACCCAAAATTTCTGCGATCCGTTGTCCTGCCCATGCAGGTCAAATTGCCGGTGATACGCTCGGGCGAGCCGAGCAATCCTTGCAGCTCCTTGGTGGAACAGCGATCGATGATCGTTGTGGCTTTGCATGAACTTCACTCGACAGCATACCTGCATGTCATGACAACAGACAGTCTGTAGGAGGTAAGGCGGGCGAGTCTTGAGGAGTTTTTTAGCCACGCTCGACGGAATCGCGGCCCTACTCAGAAAAAACCACAGAGTCGGTGGAAGTTCAGCTAAGACATTCTGCGAGAGTCAGGTGTACGCTGCTACACCCAAGATCTCTCTGGACAGGCAAAACGGGTGCTTCTGGCCTCGGCAGCAATCGTAGCTTCTGCTTCAATGCGGACAACTCGTAGTGGCGTGCGCACGCCAGGCCGGACTGCGGTATGCCAAGGTAGACACGACCATCGAGCCAACTTGGCTGAAAGTTAAAGTTTACGGAGGTAAGATGGTGCAAGCTTGATCAAGCTTGTGTTTGTTTGCTCACTACGCCAGGAACATTGATGCAAAGGCTAAACTTGGGATATGCGGGAGGCTTCCCAGAAAGAGCGTTGAGCCCTGCAAACTGAGGTTTCCTACCGGTTCAACATTGGCCTACGTCACAATCCCCATCCTTACAGACAGTGCTTGGCATACCTGTGAGGCGACCACAGGGGACTGTCGCAGAACGTGCGTTCGCTCACATGGTGTTTGTGTCCATCCTGAACTGTTGCGGCAATGCCGTGGCTGGTTCAATGATGTATCACATGGTGAGGAGTTTGCCGTCAAGCTCGCGGATCCTGACAGATGCCACATCCGTGGAGGCGGATGCCGAGTCAAGATCATTGACGAGGAGCAGTTGTAGGCTGTTTTCGTCCATGGTCTTCTCATCGAAAACCTCAGAGAAAGATGTGACTTCACTAAGCTGTCTGTTTCAGTCCGTCGTGCTAAAGTGTCGGAAGACGTTTGTAAACGTGGGTCGAGGCTGGCATGTCCCAGATACGCAAAGGTCCTGTGCTGCCGTACACAGCGCGGTGATCTGCGGTGCATCAACCATGCCTGGAGTGTAGCGCGCGCGAAGGACTGCTTTCCGAGCAACGACGTGGCCGAATACCTTCTGCCCCCGTCCTCGCTGGACGAAGTACCACAGAGGACAGAAAATGCCATTGCTGGGATAGATTCGTCGCAAGGATCTTGTTGAAGAGGCTGTAAGGGGTAAGTGGACCATGGTGGACGTTTGCTAGACAAGAAAAGATTTCCAAAGGCCGTAGCATGACACCCGTGTTTTGCAGTTGGCAGGACATTCGCATGGAGTTTCATCAGGCTTTGCATGATGCAGCCTGATATCAAGCGGAAGGCGTTGATTCACGTTCCCTGGCTGTGCACAAGGACAGCTAGACTTGACATGGTGTCCGGTGAACCCCTGCAATTTGTTTCGGTCAATGTGCGCTTGAATTGACGACATGTCTTCAGCACAACTGCGAGCACTTTATTCGGCACTGAATCTTGTTGCAGGCTGGTGTTCTTTGTTAGGGTTATGAATTTTATTTTGCATTTTTTGATCGGTCGCAGCAACTTGTACCTTGGCTGTCAAGTTGTGAGGTTAGCATCTCGTTCTTGCACAATGTCTACTTCTTGATGCGCCCTGGCTGAATGGCACTGCTTGGGCGTGCCTTGCGCCGTGTTGAGCCAAGGACAGTCTTCCTGAAGGTGTATCTTATCAACGTACTCTTGGCAAAAGCAGGCGATGAGGCCCATGCGTACGCCCGGACAAGTCTGAGCGAGCAGGCGGACCTGCGATATGGATTTTGTCTTTCTCCGTCCATTCAGGTGTCATTCACCGAACTCTTAAGTTCTGCTGTCCCTTGCATCCAATTGGTAATGATAGTATATCCAGAGAATCTGCTTTGCACCGTCCACGAGCTGTGGTGGTGACACCTCGAGAGCCCAAACTCTGACATCTAGACTCCAAGCGCGACTTGAAGTATCGGTCTCTCTCGTTTCTCGAACAGAGCAAACGGACACGTGAGCAACATGAGGCATCCACAGTTCCTGTTCCTTCTCATTCGAACATCTCTCTCCTTCTTGCCCCTACTTGATTGTTCTTCATGATTTCTCTGGCCGCTATTTCCGTTGTCCGATCAAGAAAGCTAGTTTACTGCGCCTTCCCGATGAACCGTCAGAATTCGCAAGTTTCCGTGCAAGAACCCCGCGAAGAAAACACCCGCGAAATTGAAAGTCAAGGACGGTCCAGGTGATTGCCTCCGATGGAAGTACTGGTACTGGACATTGCAGACGAGAACAAAGGGACGTCACCAATACTCTCACAGACAGAAGCCCAGTTCGGTTGACGGGATGATGGAACCTCTCTTGTTAGTTGCATAGGCAGGTTGTCTCCGAGCGAGCAACGAACGCACTTCTGAAAAGTGTGAATGCCTTCGGTTGATGGTGCGTTGAATGTGCCTTGGCAGGCCACAGACGAGCAAGCCGAAGTCCAACGAACACTCCGTCGGCTAGCGCATCAGGACGGGACCCACGGACCCCCAAAGTGTTGTGAACGGCGATCTTCTGTTAGTTCTGCCTGTGCACCCTTCGGTGAAGGAACTGGTCATGGCAACATGTTACAAAGTGTGGAAGCTTTGGCAAAGCAAGCAGCAGTGTGGAATCTTCAGGAGATCACTAGCGGCGGCGTATTTGGCTCCGAGCTGCTCGTTCCAGGTGAGGGCCCTTCCCCGTTCCTCTTTCATCGATTTTGATCGGCCCGCAAGTCGCACTACGGGATTGTACAACCAAACTCAATTGCCGGAATTTGACAAGACCAGGGCTCGTGTGGGCTTAGGCCTCAGTGATTTGCGAATTGGATAGAATTTTGATTTCTTCCGCCGGCCAGACAACCTGGAAGCTACAGCGGCGATTCTTGCGGCGTGACTTGGTCTGCAGGATCTTGATGGGTGCTTGCAAGTGCAGTGCCCTTTGGCCCTTTCATCTCTTCAACTTCAGAGGACGAAATGTGGGAGTACATGTTGATTTCGCTTGCTGCTGTAAATTTATGAAATGCACGGAAGTTTTCACTCTCAATGGTGTTCCATGCTCTGTGCGTACGAGTCTTCTTGTGACGGCACGGAGCATCGCGGGCCTGGTTCAGGCTTTACCTGGTCCCCTTCGCGTTGCTGCACATACTGGATGTGGTGAGGGACGCACTGCAGCAATTGAAGCTCATGTCCCCACTTGCTTTCGTACCAACCTTCGAGCATGTCAGCATGGATCTGCACCTGCTTGTTGAACTCGTCTAGCGTTGCCATCGTGTGCCGTGTAACACTTGATACGAGCATTTATGCCGATGTGCCACGCGTGTTCAGACATGTCAGGGACCGACCGTGGAGCCCATTTCGGCTTTGTCTTGCAGGGACAAAAAGGTAGCCCGTGCGAGGGTTTTGAGTTTTTTGCCGGTGCCACTTTCCGCTGGCAGCGGAGCGTGGTTCGATCCAGGGCGCTGCTGCTGCTCTTTGAGGAACTCCAGGGTGCGGTCCGGGAGTTTGTGACACGTGTTCTTTGAGGAGCTCCAGGGTGCGATCCTGGACTTTGTTTTCCTGAACTGGTCCCGGTGCGTCGGGGCTTGGGCCACAGGTGGGACCCGCAAGACAGAGCCATGCGGTCTTACTATGAATCGTTTGGGGCCTCGCACGGTGAAGATTCGACTGGGGAATCGAGCTGGGCAGA